CTTAATGGCCTTCGGCTTCCAGAAAACGAAGGGCGAGTGGTAAAATTAGCAGCCGCCTTGCAAACTGTTGCGGTCACGTAAAAGAATGGGAGGTTCCCGAATCTTCGAAATCAATGCACAATCGATTAATTGCTGCAATAATGAATTTTCCTTGATGTTTCTACGTTATCGTGGATATGGTCATCAGCATATCTTTGACAACTGACCTTATACCGATTTCTTGTTATTAACCAGCGCGAGCCGAATCACTTTTCTTGCACTTTCCATGTTATCGATCTATGCGTTAAACGCTGCTCCACATGTCGTCTAAGCGTGCTTTTTGGCGACCCCATATTCCGCTGCTTGGATCCGATAATGTTATCACTAATGGGTATATTTACTTTTCTAAGTACCTTCATTACTAAGGAAACACCACTGTTTCTTTCACCATAGACAAAGAAAAGTCCGCCGTGGACTTGATATTCCACAGTGCCATCGACAGTTTGTCCGATGAGGACAAGAAGCTGCCACAAGTTCAAATTATCCTCCCTGTGCTTCGACGTGGTGTCGGCATTCATCATGGCGGTTTGCTGCCTATTTTGAAGGAGATTGTGGAAATCCTCTTCTCGGAAGGCCTCATCAAAGTAAGCATGGCAGACTGCTCGCGCTTTATCCATTTTCTCGATTTATTCTTACTGGTGCGCTGTGTGTTCACCTCATTCATTTGACCGTAAGCCCTTTCGTTATGATGTCTGATTGTTTCTCGTTTACTTTACTGGCAACTCATGATTTTAAGCATATGGTTGCGGGTTCGAAGAGCCTCAAGCAGTTGTTCGCCGAGCTTGGCACGTTGGTTTCAAACATGCAGGTGACTTTTAAAGTGACTCTTTAAAGAGTCACCTGCACATCGATCAGGCATCGACGATTCAATCAGCAAGGTTACACTCTGCATATCACTGCACTGAGAATGCCACCTTGCATGGTTGCGAAACGTTTGCAACCAACCTGCCAAGCTTGGCGAACAAATGAACAACTGAATCGTTAACCCGAGTTACCAGTATTCCGACACATTTTAAGTCTCTAGCAAGCTCATCATTGTTTGGCAAAGATACATCCGGTAAAGCATTGGGTAGTCTTTTCGTTCCAGTTGGACGAATCTCCTGTTCGCGAACCCGAATATTTCCTATGCTATTTGTCAAATCTACTTTCGGCTAGGTTCCCGTTTCCCAAAGATGGATTATAAATACCAGTAAATTCTGATGGATGCTACAGCGCTTCACTGCGGAGCAGCTTCGCGTCACATTACTCCGCTTCCATTGCTGTGATGCTTTGACGCGCTCGTCTTTTACTTTCCTAGTGTGTCAAATAATTTATTCTCACTCTTGAATTCGCTGACCTTACCTCCACTCTCTTCAGTAGTAAATCTTCACGTGTTTCATAGTTAAGCTAGTTCCTGTTGTGAAGTGATGATTATCTTTCATACACAAGGATTAGTTAAATGTGATGGGCTACTGTGATCCAACTTCTTTTATTCCGTCGATACTGTTGTCTTGAAGTATTCCACTAACTTGTCTTCGAATGCACCCACTGATTACTTGTATGGCTATTGCAATCATACTGACGTGAAAATTAGACACGGAGCTATTTCATGAGTCAACTTCCGTTCGAATAATACCAGTGTGTATCATTCACGGGGTGTGTTGAGACAGAGCTCCCGAGTGAAACAAGTCTAGCTTCATTTGGAATCCTGTGTGACGGCAGAGATACCTTTGCGACTCGCGTTAGAAGTTGTCATTATCGATACTTGTTCTGATATACACAAGTGAGTTGGTGTTCTGATGGTTCACTGAGCTCGGCAGTTTGGCTGCAAACGTTTCGTCACCTCTCTAGGTCACATCGTCACTGCGCGTCAATGTAGCGGAGCAGCGCAGTACTAAGCGTCAGTTCCGCTACGTACACGCGCATTGAGTTGTGACAAAACGTTTGCAACCAAATTGCCGAGCTCAGCAAACAATCAGACTACCTACCTGGGCTATCAATATTTGCTCCTCTACACAAGTGAGAGTTATAGCACATCAAAGCGATATCACCTCTATAACACTCTTGAACTGTTGGTATCCACTTTAGCCCAGTGTTCACATCCGATATATTTTAAGAATCGTGGGTTCAATTCTTTCCTTCATCCCAGATACTGCGCGATGCTTACTGGTCTAAGATGACGAACTGATAATGGTTTTCTTCGGTGTTCTGTAGTGGTCTGATTGTGGCCAACCGTGGCGAATTCTACGGGTGTGACATTTATGGGAAACTATTCCGTTTGTGATTACCTTCGTTTTTCAACTTGCGCGCTTTTCCAGCGATCCACCAACTTGACACCATCTGGTTGTCCGCATCTAACCTCCAGGTCCTCTTCGCAACCGAAACCTTTGCTATGGGTCTGAACATGCCAGCAAGGACGGTTCTGTTTACCAGTACACGAAAATTTGATGGCCAGACATTTCGGATCCTCTCCTCCGGAGAATACATTCAGATGTCAGGCCGAGCCGGACGTCGGGGCAAAGACGATCGTGGAACTGTGATTCTGATGCTGGACAATCGCATCTCACCGTCGGAGGCAAGGCAGCTGCTGTTAGGCGAACCTGATCGACTGGATTCCTCTTTCTACCTGACGAATAACATGGTCTTAAATTTGCTCCGAGTGGAGGATGTGAATCCGGAGATATTGCTAGAAAAATGCTTTTACCAATTCCAAAACCGTTCTAAACTGCCTTCGTTGGACAAGCGTAAGTGGCAACCATACGAAGTTTATATCGGTTTCTTATTTGTTATTCCTACGGGTGAATTTGTGCGTATTACTCGGGAGTCACCATACTTTTGACTTGGCGTCTTCCATTTCGGATTGCCTTTACCTGTGGTGAACCACGTTACGTCACTTCGATACGGTTGCCAGTAGTCGAAAAAATTACGCGCTTACCTTCTAATCCGATAGTCAGCGGTTCGAATCCGCGTAGATGCAGACGACCTCGCGGTATACCCAGGCCACACGCGCCCCGGTGATGGTCACGTGGCACCAAAGTGCCGGTACCTTGTGTCGGCGTACTGCTGATGCTTTTTTCTTTCACTGCTTCTTCCACGGCGGAAGTGTGCATCCAATCTGTCATCCCGATACCACCCGCTGCTACCCGACGGAAAATGTATCCCGATGCATTCTCTATGTACAAACTTTGCACCTTTTAAACAATTCCATGTTGCTTTGTCTGTATTACACCCTATTCCTGGTTACTTGAAGCACTTATCACAAAGGCTGACTCCTCATGAAAAGCACCGCACCCAGTGTGATATGTGACATTAGTTCTTTCTAAATTTTAGGTATCCGAACGCTGGAGGACGAGGCACGAGGTATCCAACTGCCTCCCGATGTTGACCTGGATCAGTTGGGCTCTTGTGTGAAGCTGCGTGAAGCGTTGGCAGCGGCGGAGCGGGAACGATGGTCATTAGTGATGAAAGCCAAATGCGTTATCTCCTTCTTGCAACCGGGACGAGTTGTGCGCGTAAGTTTGCCTACGTTTCAACGCCTCTGCAAAGTGTGCGTCATGCTTAACTCGAGTGTATTTCCGTGTGAATGGACCCCACTTTCTCCTTGTCCGCTTTCGTTGGTATTCGCTGCAACATTATGCTCATTGGCCGTTAGTGCATTCATGGGTATTTAACCGTCAAGTATTGCAATTTATAATATCGCTGCTTGTCCACTATCATCATACGTATTCCAAGCAGCGATTCGTTTTGATAACGACGTTCGCTTTGCAGGTCATCTTATTCCTAGAAGTCGTGTCTTATTCTGACGTCTGAAATTTACACCGATCGTTTCTTCAGATTATCACTCAGCACAGGCATTTTCTTTGTCTTCACACCCTAGTTGTGAAGCGTTGTATTGCTCGCCTGGTCCACCGTAATAGACTAAGCCGTTAAAATGTTTCGTCTGATTTTGGGTGGCCTATTTGAATGCATTTTTTTAGTGGGCGGCCCTAGTTGATTTTGTGTTTTTCATCGTGGACACTTTGCTTCACAAATTTGACATCTTTTTATGTGTCTGTTTTTAAATTTGACAGGTTCGTACACTGGACGATGTAGATTATGGATGGGGAGTGGTGGTTAACATCAATTCGGCGCGCACACGAGACTCCGGCAAGTCCACCGAGTCAAATGAGGTCTCAACCATCATGGTAGAGTGCTTGCTCCAAGTGTCTTCGATGAGCCTGTTATGTGGAACTGCTGGAGATGGTTCATCCAAAAATGCTAGATCCATTCCCTTGTCTATGGTGGAGCCAATCAATCCAGATTTCGAGCTCCCCGAAGATGACGACGAAAGCACCAGGGCGAACGCAGTTCGCCTGATCTCAGTTCCAATCTCTTGCTTGGCCGAGCTGTCCAGCGTGTGTTTAACAGTTTCGAGTATCATCGGTAGTCACCTCGGCAAGGCCGCCGTCATAGCTCGTCGTTTGGCCGCGCAACCCGATTCTGTGCTCAGGCACCTGTGGGAAGGAATTGGGCGAGCGAGGGACAAGCTTGGTGGCTCAATCCCCTTGCTGGATCCCGTGAAGGACATGCAGATCAGAGACAAGCGGCTGACTAAATGCAAAGAGGTATGGAAATCGCGTTCTTCTTATTTAAGCAGTGTAAACTCGTCGTTTGCATACCTGAATATTTTACAGATAAACTTCGTATACACGTGGAGTTCCTCTGTAGAGACGTATCCAGTGTCTCACAATAACTTATATTTTCCATCCTTTGTACTAACTGAAGCGTCTTGGCAAGAGACGAACTCAAAGCTCCAGGAACACGGTTTCCTTTATTTCGAAAGGCATTTATTTTGCCACTTGAACCCACTCACTCACGGATCTTTTCTACAGAAACGAGAAGTGGAAAACAGTGACATCGCCACTTCGTCATGCACTACTCCTCGATGTTGCGTAATGATTGTACTCTGAAGTCATACTTCCTTTAATTAAAAGCTTAGATCTTCAGATTTTCCAAATCAACGGATATTTAACATTCCTAAACTCGTGCGCCACTAATACCCCTTGTTAACAACCTGGCTGATACAGGTATATTTTTCTGTGGCGGTATGGGCGCATTACTTCTCCGTTCGACTGTTCAGGGGAATTTTTTGATTGTCTCAGCGTCCATTTCACTGAATTTTGCGATGTTATCGTTACCGCGTCAGATTTTATCAGCGTTTACATTTTCATGCATCTTGTTACAATAAGCGGTAAGTGGATTTTCATGTCTTATATGACAACTAAAGCACCCCCACCGGGACACCATTTGCGCACATTTAAGATGCGCTGCTGCACGAAAAATATTTCAGAAAGAATCGAAAACAATCGGTTAGTATATCCGACTTCTTTGGAATAGGGAGTATTCGATGGGATCCAAGCGTGTTTCAATATGTTGAAAGCAAATGAATCATCTCGAGTAGAGGGGCCATTTTTGAAACACTTGTTGTGTGAATGGATTGCGACGCGCTATAAGAGGCACAGCGATATCGTGAAGCAACTAACCAATATTCCTCACGGCAAGGGAGCCCAAATAATCCCGGAGCCCCGCATCCCAGCTGCATCAGCGTACATCAGTTCGGATTTAATCGCCATTATGAACTCCACAGCGCACGTAATGGACTTGACAAAATGCGACTCCTGCATAATGACCCATGGCTACCAAATAATCATTGACAGATTTGCTCATGCGGAAGTCATATCCCGCTTTGTGCGCTTGGAATTTCATGCATCATCTGATAATTATCAACAACCGAGGTTATATATTCCCAGCCTCTGCCAAGCACATTTTGGCACTTTGGCTCACCAAACTTGATATATCCAACTTGTTTGTGTCTCCAACAAGAAGATTCCTTAAAGTGTACGACACCTATATGCGGGGTGCGATAGCACAAAACATATCACACTAACGCCGTACACTCGCACCCTCGCGCCCGATTCCGACCATTTCTTTGCGTTTTATTTTGTTACTGTTTCAGTATTACACCAGGACATTTGTCCAATCTTGGGGAATTTTTATGTAATGTCCAGGCCTAGGGCCACACTTGAGTTCGTCGAAAACATGTTCATGAGCCGCGATTCGCATTAATGCGAACCTTGATCCAATCGATCAATGAAACCGGAACCGAAGCAAATAGAAACTGGGTGTTACTTGCCCGAATACATTGCACTTTATGAGGTAGCAGGCCTCAGACCCGGGACCATTGTAATAGTAACCGAAATCTCTGCGCGTTTCACTCTATTTCCATCTCATCAGGTAGATGTAGCAGGCCCCGAATCCGGGACCATTGGGATATTAGTTGGAATCTCTACCCCTTTAGCCACCGGATCAAGACAAGCAACGCTTTTTGGCACAACGGTGAATGGCTGATTGAAGGGCCAATTCCGGAATACACGTTGTGTATGCTTGGATTGTGATGCGCAGTCTCAATGTAATGGACTGTGATTCACATTGAAGTGAATCTTAGTGTGATCACTGGGACTGTAGTCGAAGAAAATGGAAACTGAGTGTTGCTCGCCAGAAAACACTGTACAACAACGACGCGTTTGGATGTCTTTTTATCTCATCAGGTGGAGATAGCAGACTTCTAACCCGCCACCATTAGAGTAGTGGTCGAAATCTCTATCCCTTTGGCTACCTGGTCACGGCGAGCAAGGCTTGGCACAACGGTGAATGACTGATTGAAGGGCCAATTCCGGAATACACGTTGTACGCTTGGATTGTGATGCGCAGTCTCAATGTAGACCGCGATTCACATTGAAGTGAACCTTGGTTACTGCGATCATTGGGACCGTAGCCGAAGCAGATAAAAATTGGGTGTTGCCCACCCGAATACACTGCACACCCGCGACGCGTTTCGATGTTATTTCATCTTATCAAGTGAAGGTAGCAGACCTCGTACCTTGGACCATTGGAATAATAGCCGAAACCTCTACCCCTTTGGCTACCGGGTCACGGCGGGCAACACTTGGCACAGCGGTGAGTGACTGGTTGGAGGGGCATTTTGAGGTACTCATGTGATTGGATTACAACGCACAATCTCAATGTGGATCGTGATTCGTATTGTGGTGAACCTTAACCAATTCGATCTTTAACGCCTTGGCTGAAGCGTACGAAAACACCGCGTTCCGCTACATGTTTCACTCTTGTTTGATCTCATCAGGTGGAGATAGCAAGACTCGAACCCGTGACAATTAGCATAGTATTCGAAACCTGTACCCCTTTGGCTACCGGGTCACGGCGGGCAGCGCTTGTCACAACGGTTAATGACTGTTTGGTGGGTCATTTTGAAGCACTTATTTGCGATTGGGTTGCGACGCTCATTAAAGCGACTCTCTTTCCAATCGATCGTTGGGACCGTAACCGATGAAGCAAATTGATATATTACGTGTTACGTGCTCGATGTTTTCGATCACTAGTTTAACTCATCGTCTAAAGCTGATCTTCCATGTTGGTCATATGCGTGTTACCTATAATGTTCGTGTATCTACGATACCCATGCACGCTTCATTCTCTACTAAAACTGCTGCCATTTCGAAGTGTTACACATGCCACGTTCGACTCTTCAACGTTCCGCCGGTTCACTCCCATAGCACAGAATCACTTTTTGACGCCGCTGCTGCGCAAATAGGGATCTGTTAATCTGCTTACTTTATTGTTGAAACGTTCCTGCTAATATGCGTCGTGTTATCTGCAATCGTTGTACATTCTCTTCTTTTAGATGATCCACATGCTAGAGGCCAGACTCGCTCTCAACCCGTTAACGAAACGGTTAGATATCGACCAGCTAGTAGACCTATACACCCGTCGTTCTTCGGTAAGTGGTAGTTTTGTACTTGATCGACGGGTTATCTATCGATCTTTATTTGTCACTATAAGAAACCATGTTTGGGTCTCCTCCATTAAATCACACCTTAAGTTACAACCTTTTCAGTCAGTTTCTTAAAAGCCCACATATAAATGCATACATAATTTTATCTGCTTTGATGAGCAACATATGATTTTGGCTACTGTAGTCGTTTCATTCCTGTCCCCTAAGTACAACTCGGATTACGTTGCATTGCGCGTCCAAAGTCGATTCTCCAGAATGTAGTCCATCCGATCACAAGCCTTTGCAGTTCATCTAACTTTAAGTTCAAGAGAAGAGGTACATGTTATCAAATAGGCGTTTTCCTTATCGTCACTCGGTGAAGTCACTCGAGCCATCTATCGGGTTGGAAAGTACTTGAAATGCTAGTAGTTTGAGTGGCTTTTTCAGTTGTTGCGGTGTTCGCCGAATTGGGGGTCAAATCCAAGCACACATTTGTTACCCCTGTTACGAACTGCTAACTCTTCTCCTTTGATGATATTACCTTGAGTTTCGTTGAAACGTTTGCTAAGCTCGGCGAACACTGCAGCAACTAACCATCTACCGGGTATTACCAGTACAATGAATATCAAAATAGGATGCCTGGTGCACAATGTTTCTGCACGAAGAAAGCATGATAACTGTAATCAGATATCTCTTCTGGGATACCCGCATTTCGACACTGAACCTTTGTTCACTCCTTTAGCTTCATATCATTTTTTTCTTTTTCTTTGATTAAGAGTGCCATTTACGGTGCTCATGTAACCGCGAACTCGCGCTTTCCCGTAACAATGAGAATGTGCCTTAAGGTTACGTGTTAGTTTGCTCACCTCCGTGAGCCAGTGAACCACACCAAATAGAAGTGTCTAAGTACCTTCAGAATCACTCTTATCCGCTGGTTCATTAGTTAGAACTCATCTGAACTCAGTCGCAACAATTTCGTCGTGGTAAGTAGGGAGAGATCAGTTGTCCCATGGAAGTCAGCGTTCCAAGTATAGTTAATTAAGTTTGATTGGTGCACAGTACCCGTTCCACGAAGTATTGAAACGAAACGAGTCACGTGGCACTAACGACCTTCTCTCGCCTTTGGTGCAAAACGGCACCAAAAGTAACTAGCGCTATGCTTCGTTTTTTATATGAATCGGGAATGAGATCCTGATTGAAGAAGGGACAGAGAAACACAATACAAGCTTCACTCAGGTCGTTTCCTGCCCATGCGAAAAGTATATCCAATCAACCAGGTTCATCACCCTTAGGACTCCGGTTCTACAGTGTATAGGCACCAACCGAAGCCAAATTCGAAGTGAGGTCCTTCATTTCTCTTGATCAAGTCATCGACTGACTTGTCCTATTATTCTCATCAGACCCCAGTCGCGCGAACACATGTTGCCGGAGTCGGTGTACTTGCATGCCTGACACACGACCCTGTCATCGAAGCCTGGAGCTGATCTGCTCAATTGTTCTTCTTGTCCATAAAACAAGACGACTAGCACGCTCATTGCTCACATAGTGTTCTAACTAGCCATGAGGTAAATTGCGACGGCACCAATAGTTGAATGCAATTAGCCTCCGTTTTAGCTGTGGATCTGGTGGGCCAGATTTCACAGTAGTATCTCAGCGTGAACAGTTGGTAAAGTACGGAGTCTGCTCCTCAGGTGTACATGGTGTCGTGTCGGCACCGTAAGTGGCGAAGATTGGCAAAAGTGCCTCTAGTTTTTACTGCATGGTTTATGATCATATTACCTATTCCTCAGATGTCGATATAGTTGCCTAGGCCGTTGAATTTTTAAGTGACTACTGTTTTATCTCCACCAAATGTCAGTGAAGTGGTTTTTCCTGCCAATTCTGACGAAGCGTTTCCTATTTTCATGGCGCAAAACAACACTAACCGTTGACAGCAATTGCTTGTCCGTCCAGTTTTCCTTGTTCTGTTTATGAATTGTCAGAGGTTAGACCAATATCGTCTGGATACTGGAGTTTGAAAAGTCGATCATATGGAAGAACTCTATTCCTGGGGAATGCACTCTCAGTAACCTCGTCAGTGAATAATTTGCAGAGGGCTAGTGACTGGTTATCCTCTACTTACACTGCTAGAGATATTGCAAGCCGTTGACAAGTGGCCATAAGCCCTCATTCTACCCGAACTACGCGCGTAAGGCGTAGACAACCCCAAATCGTAAATCGACCCACTATTTTGGGCACTATTAATGCCGAAGGGGGCTCAGTAACTAATATAAGGTGACTATGTGGTCAGCGCAACACAGATTTTGACGAAACTCGGTCCTTTTTATGATTATGAATTCAACAGGCGCCAGTCAGTCTGTAGAGAACAAGGAGCACAGGCAAATTCGGTAGTGATTGACATCAAACAGATAAGTTTATGATTGCCGCATTCTGAACATGAGCCTCCAATTGAATGTCAAGACGATAATAGAGCGGCTGAAGACCTTTGGGACAGTTTTCTGTTCCCACAGCTGCGCTAATGGGTCATGCAATCATCATTGGAGAAGATCCCCCGAATTTGAAGAGGGCTAGAACAATTCATTCTAGTCTTGCGGCCTTACTCAATTTTATCCTCCCGATCTTACGGTGGACATCCGCGTGGGAGGGCAGTTTCAGCGCCATGGCTCAATGAGCAGAACCATCGCTGGCCGACAAGAGAGCTATGAATTCTTGCGTATTTACTTGTTCTTTGAATTGTTCATCTCAACCCTCTGAGCAATTTGACAAACCGCTTATTCGACCAAGTACCTGAACTTCAGTCAGCCAGCCATGATGCTGTCAGTTGGTTTAGGAATAAGCTGACCGACATTGCTTATGAGGTCCTCATGGTACCGGTAAACGAAAACTGTGCGCTTACAAGCCGTCATTTAAAAGCACTACGAGAGCTTAGAAATAAGGGAGTGGTTGTACTAAAACCGGACAAAGGTTCAGGAGCAGTTGTCATGAACAAGAATGATTACATAGAAAAAATGCTAAACATTCTAAGTGACGAAAGCAAGTTTCAACGCACCGACCGGATAGAAAACCTGAGTTATAACTCGACACCTTGAAACTCTTCTCCTACATCGTGTACTTGGCGAAACCACCTACAGGAATTTGAATCCGAGCGCATCATCAACACCACAGCTGTATGGGTTACCAAAGATTCACAAGCAGGGTATGCCACTAGGACCCGTTTTGTCGATAGTAAATTCCTCGCAGCACAAATTGGCTCGCCGGTTAGTTCAGATCCTTACGCCATTTAGGCAGCACCTTACTTTGTACAGCATTAAGGATTCTTGAAATAATCGAAGATTTAGACCAAATCAGCTTAGCTGACAAGGTGCTCAGTGGATGTCCATTTGTTATTTACCAATGTCCGTTTGCTGAGACAGTTTATTACATTTGGCACCTGATAGAAGAGGATAATTTCCGGCTACCAATACCAGCAGACCTCCTCAGACAGCCCCGGTTACTTTGCTCGGATAATGTCGCTTTCCGATTCCAGCACACTTCATATCACCAAACTAATGGAGTGCCCATGGGTAGTGCATTGAGCGGCTTTTTTCTTGCTGATGCTTGAAAGGAAACTAAGTGGAGAGATTTCCCGGCTGTCGTGTTACAAACGATACGTAGATGATATCCTTGTTTTCGGTTCCACGAGGATGCAAACCGAACGATTAGTAAACCAACTTAGTAGCGTTTACGCCAACCTTAAGATGCCTTTTCAATTCGAATCGAATGGGCGTCTCCCATATCTTGACATTCTCATTAGGGATAATGGGCTCATTAAACGATCTGTATACCGGAAGCAAGCATGAGCCGGTCACTATCTACACTTCACCAGCTTTTCACCGATGGCACTCAAGCTCGCGCTGGTAACAACATTATTCACTCGGGCTGGACATATCTGTTCCAACGACTGCGTAGCTGAGAAGGTTGAGCTGATCACTAAAACGCTTATGGAAAATGGCTACCAAAGCGATTCATAGACAAACATTATCATGTTAGGCCGCCTAAAGAAATGGTGTTGACAGCCCCAAAGAAAATGTATACATCGAGCTACTATTAAAGGGTGACTATGCGGCAAGAAGGACAACCGAACGCAAAGTCTCAGCCATTCAGCGCACGTACTGTGCTGCAGAGGCTGTAATTATAAACAAAACCCGAAAGTTGCTGTTACGTCCATTAAAGGTGGGTTATCCCGTCGATGCCAAACCACATTGTGTTTAGCAATTCGTCTGTAACTGCGACATCAGTTACATCGGCAGAATCGAACGAACTTTGGATTCCAGAGTGAAGGAACACTTACCGTATTGGGTTGAGCGCGTAAGCCGCCGGCCTCCTCCATAGGCAGGCACATTTTGGCGACTCGTCACCGGATTAATCCCTTATCGGCATTCCGGATCTTGTTGCGTCATACGAATTTACGCCTTTTGCGATTTGTCGAGGCCGTCACGATAAGCCGAATTCAACCAGCATGGTGTGTCCAAAAGCAATTAGTTGTCAGCGTGCTGTTGTCGTGGCCCTAATGCCAATAACAATGACCGCAACTTGATTGGCTTGACTGTACCCTATGAGACACGTTACAATATTTCCCAGTTATTCTACTAGTACTGATGAGATAATACGAGATGCTAGCATCTGCCAATATTCGTCTTCTCATTTCATCGTTCAAACTGCGAATAGGCTGTTCGCTTTCGTCGCATATAATTTTGTCAGACGTGTTGCGCTGCCCCAGTGTCAACTATCATCTCCGCAAACTGCGCCTTAATCTCCCCCGCGAGAAGTTGAACCTCTATCCACAGTATTAGAGGGAAGTTAAAATCGTCAATAAACTGGAAGCAGGGCCGTCTCATGTAGCTTTTGACCTACGGTAACCAATCCAGACTACCTCGCGGACTGCGATAAATTGCACCCACAAACAGTTCACCTTGTTTCAGGCGGATCAAGCACCATAGCTGCGCGCACAGACCAT